TGCATGAATTTTTCTACAATATTCTCCAATTTACTTATTCTGTCAGGCACTGAAGGATAATGTTGTTGTTGTTGTTGATATGGAGGTTGTTGATATGACTGTTGTTGAAATGTAGGTTGTCTAGTAGTTGAACTAACACCTTGCTTCCACCCAATATTCTGATTCTGATTCTGATTCTGATTCCCTCTCCATCCTTGGGCAATATTATTCTGATAATTGCTGGGATTAGGGAAATTACCTTGTCTACCTTGACTACTACCTTGGGTACCCATATAATTAGTTTCTTCTTGTTGATTATTGCCTTGATAAGAGCATCGTTCATTTGCATGCTCACCTCCACAACGTCACAACTCATCTGTTGATTAGGAATAGATTGTACTGTGTGCATTTGTTGAGGTAATTTCTCTATTTTCTAGTTCAATGCTTCAATTTGTTGGGTCAAAATTTTATTCTGGGCTAAGAGAGCATCTGAGGTGTTAAGTTCAAGGACTCCCTTCCTTTAAATTAGATGTCTATCATGTTGAGCCTGTTGGTCTATAAAATCTAGTGCATCAATAATTCTTGTGACATGCTCAATTTCTACACCCAACATGGATCCTCCTGCTGCAGCCTCTAATAACATCTTTGCATCATGTCGCAACCCAGTATAGAAAATATTCAACTGAGCAACGTCATCAAATCCATGATTTGGGCATATTCTCAATAGTGATTTAAATTTCTCTCATGTTTCACAAAATTGTTCATCTGCTCCTTGTCTGAAGCAAGTGATGTCAGATTTTTCTTTGATGTAGCGGGATGGTGGAAAAAATCTATTCAGAAACTTTTCTTCTACACTACTCAAATTAGTCAAACTCTGATTAGGATGTGCTTTCAGCCACTCCTTTGCCCTACCTGCCAAAGAAAAAGGAAATAATATCAAATATGCAGATTCAAGATTTGCTGCTCTAAATCTCATGGTACCAATCAACTCATAAAAAATAGACAAATGAATATAAGGGTCTTCATGATCCAATCCAGTGAATTGATGAGCATTAATCAAGCTTAAGAAGGATGGATTCATCTGCAATGTATGATCATCCGGAATGACAATGCTGGAAAAATGCCTTGGACCTTGCTGCATAGCATAATTTCTAAGAGTTCTTCTAGGTGGATTTGAATTTTTGTTTTGATTTGGATTTATATTGGGATCTGGATTCAGATTCAAATTTTCTCCTTCTTCCGTCATATCTTATATAATTGGGTCTTGTAAATCAAGTGTGCAAGAAGAATTAATAGATTCTCTTGTGGCTTGTTCTTAAGTTTCCCTTCTTCTTCTACCCCGATTCCTCTGAGCTGTTTTTTCAATCTCTGGATTAAATTCTAACTGCTCTGAAGATACATGTCCTCTTAAGCACATAAATCAAAAGAGTAACTCAAGCAAAGATTAACACAAACCAAAAACTAAAACTGAAAAATAAAACAAAAACAGAAATAAAAATAAAAAATAAAAATAAGTTAAACAAAGAATTCTCAAAGAACATCACTCCCCGTTTACGGCGCCAGAAATACTTGTTGAATTATTGGCAAGCGTACCAAAATTATCAATCGCAGTATAGTATCTCAATTAAATAAAAGTCGATCCCACAAGGAACAGTTTTAATGGAAATTCCCAATTATGCTTACTAAGTTGATTAAACAGATTGAGTTTTACAAATAAAAGTTGAATTGAAATTAAATGACAAAGAACTGTAAATTGTTGAGAAAATATCAATTAAAAGTACTTAGGATTGACTTCCTTCCTTATCCCTCTTTTGTAATGGCTATGTCAATTAAGAACGTCAATTAACCTAACAATGTTGATGTCACCTACTCAAATCATCCTTGTTGATTCCTCACACATGAAATTCATAAGAAAATCTAATAAATGTTGATTCCTCACACAATTAAGAGATTTTCCAGCATTAGGGTTAGGGTGTTAAGCAATTGATACATTCATTCCATTCCTGACAATTAACGTAACAAATATTCTTACCGTGATCTAGGGTTCAAGATATATTTTCCAATCATACCCCAAACATCAAGAATAAATCATTCCAAAGCATAAAGGATAAGAATAACAACATCAAAGCATAGATTAATATCTCAAAATATCACCAAGATACAAAAGAGTTCAAAGGAAGTGCACCGAATCCTAAGGGAATGAAGTTAGTCACTCATGTTGGCCATTACAATGCTCCAATTGATGAAGAAGTGAATAATTGATGAAAATTAGACGAAACCCTAACAGTAGTTGTGTCTTCTCTTCTCCAAAACTGCTTCCTTTTTCTCAAAACACATATTCTCTTTAAATTGGAAAATTTTGGGCTTTTGGGTTTCGCGTCTTTCTCTCGAGCGAGAACTTTCGCTCAAGCGAAAGTAGCCCGTTTTCGCTTAAGCGACAAAACGCTCGCTTGAGCGAATAAACTCCAGAGAAGAATAACTAACATTCGCTCAAACGAATTTTCCTGCACTTGAGCGACTGACTTCTAGAGAAGAATAACTGATATTCGCTTGAGCGAGTCTTGGCTCGCTTGAGCGAGTGAATTCTAGAGAAGAATAACTAACATTCGCTCAAGCGAGAATCCATCCCGCTCGAGCGACTTTCATGCTGAAAATCTTCTTCTTTTTTCCAGGTTTACTCCAATTCTGCTATCAATCATGCTCCTTACTCTTGTATCAAGGTATTCTTGAATTCATCCTATATTGGGATAAAAATAAATTAGAATTAGCAATAGTTAAGTGGTTTCATAACAATTCAAGGTATAATTATATCAATTTTTTACCACTTAACATATGCGAACATTTGCACAAGCATGAATAATGGTTGCATCAATTGATGTACAACAAACCATCTATGTTTTGGAGAAAGAGAGTCCTTTCATAGAAAAAAAAGCACAATTCTTCTTAGAGAATTATTATATGTTTGAGAAGTATAGTCATAACCATCTACCAAAGTTGTTTGTTGCATACTTTAAAAGCCTAGAGACATGTTAGAAGTTGTCCAGATTAGGCTCATTTATGGCTTCACGTCTCAAAATGGTTAGCTTTTTGCATGAAAGCTATAAATAAAGCTATTCTCACGAAGAAGAAAACAAAAACTCTTTTTACATGAACAATAACACTGCAAAAATCTATACATTGTTAAGGTCTTCTTGACTTAACTTTCTAAGATAAATTTATTTGTATATCTTTCATTTTGAGAAGTAAATCTCTTGTAAATAGGAATTAATTTCTATATATCTTTCGTTGAGAACTTTTATCTAATAAATCTTTAGACAACTTTATTTGTATTGTCTTAAGAGGGATAGTGTACTGAAAGAAGATACGAGTAGTTTAGTAATCAAATAATCCTCATTCTTTAACTCAATAGAAAATTAAAGAGTTAAGAGAGATATTGTTAAGTGACATTTAAAAAAATTAGTTTGTAATTAAGTTAGTGAAATCTTCTAATACTTTATTTAGAAAAGAATTAAATGTAACTAAGGAACCAATAACCAAGTCTCTTATTTATGATATTGCCTATGATTGTATACAACTATCTTCCGTTAACTATTGTTAATGTTGTTTTAAGAGCTTTGTGAAAAAAAAATTTGTTACCATTAAAAAATCATTTAGATGATTTAGCATTAGACACACTTCTTTGCATTATTTGATAAGTGATTGCGAAATATTTTGAAATTCTATTCAAACTCCTTTTTCTACACCATTTCTTTCCATAATTTGTTTGAGAATCCATATTGTTTGTGTGTAATAAAAGGGTATGTATCTGCAATAGTGACCCAACCATTCAATCGGAAATATTTTTAACACACAAGTTTATTTTAAAGTTATACAGGTATATGAACTTGTAATCGGATACAATGTCATGTACTAATATAAAGTGGGATGATATTATAATTAAATTCAAAACATTTAATTAAATTATAGTAATTAGGTAGTGTAATTTACTCAAATAATAATGATTTTGTTTTTCAGGTAATTCATGTTGGGAATCAAATTGTGGATTTAAGTTTTATATTAAGTAAGAACAAAGAACTTAAATAACATATAAGAAAAAAATCCATAATCCAATGATTTAATTAAAATTTTGAGTTAAAAATAATATAAATATTTTATATGAATTTGAGTCATATTTTATTATATTTCATTATTTTTCTGAAATGAATCTTCTTATATTTTGGTATTTATTTTTATAATATCAATTTTTTAATATATATATATATATATATATATATATATATATATATATATATATATATATATATATATATATCGTCCCATTCTTCGTAGTAACACGTTTTTTCTCTATGATTAACATACGTTTTCTGTTCACCCTATTTATTATTATTATTATTAATTTTATTTTTCGGCTTTTAAACTTAACTAAAATAAACGCTGTTTAAATCATCCTATCATCATTTTAGTTCAAACAAGGATGACACAAAATAAATGTTCATAAATAAACGGTGTTTCTCCCTCCAATTGTAGCCGGCCGGAGGCATTTTCTGTTATATGACAAGTTCATTTTTTGAATGTAGATCAACCATTACATCTATAAATTCTCTCAAGGGACAAAGTTACCTGCAGATTCCCGGACTCGTGATTCTATCATTGTTCCAACATGGATATTGCACCCCTCAATTTCCTTTCCCATGTGAGTTTGCATCTTCTACTCAAATTTCTTTCATCATTTTCTGCAATCTGTGTAAATTAATTTTACTTTTTCATACTTTTTATCACAAAATTAATGAGGTTCAATTATCATCATGCATCAACATCATTATTATTGTTTGAAATTAATTGTTCTTTCTTCACAATTCTATTCATAATGTATCTCTAATTGCATTGAGATCTGCTACATGGATTTATAATTTGAAGTCTATGCATGACATGATAATACTACATTTATGCTTTCTTGTTCATATTTTTCTTTTACATATTATACCAATTTTCAGAATCCTAGAGCTAAAGAAGCGGCAAGAATGAATAGTTCAAGGCATCGACCATTACACACTTGTGCAGTTTCCATCTTAGCAATGGTTGACATTGCCGTAGGAAAAACCCAACATATCAATGGACCATTAGGTTCAACGTTGAAAAGGGTAACAAAGTCAGCCAAATTCGCCACGCCCCTTATCTACAACATGCAAATCCAATGGCTAACGATTCTCTCCTTCATCGATGATGCCATTCTAGCAATTGAAAAAGTTACAGCGAAACTGTTTCCCCCATCAACTCGCGTGTTCGACAAAGTTGACGAAATCGTGGTTATGATAGTGTCCCTTCCCGAGGAATTTGATGACGCAATGAACAAGTTTCCTGCAATAATCCATGAGGTCCCGTTTCTGGATTGGGCACTGACCCTCGTGATCTCAAGGTTGAACGGTTTGGTTTCCACGTTGAACCATTGGGGACATGAAAATTCAAGGGTGAACGAGAAAACAATAGGTGTTGATAAGAGTTGCAATGAAGGGTGCATGGATTCCTCGAATTATATGAAGAGTGAGAATTTGGAAAACTTTCCTCCTATAATATCAGAGTGTGAATTTAAAGTGGTTCATGACCCTGCATTGTTGAGTCACGTAAGAGCGTCGTACAAGGAAGCGTTGGAGAGAGGAAAAGAAGTGAACCCACACGAGAAACAGAACCAAGGGTGTGAGGTCGATAGAGGTGATGATTGTGAGGGTAAAGAAGGAAGAGAGAAGAGTGATGGGATTATTAAAAAGTGTGACGATCATATTACGAAAAGCCAAGTTGGAGAGCGTGAAAGTGTAAAGGAGGCTCTTTTGGAATTGTTTGAGTCTTCATGGCACGAGGAAGATGGTAGTTACTAAGAAAAATATCACATGAGACACTCATTATTCAATCCATCTTCACGCCATATACATTGAAGTGTTTCTTTTCTGTAAATTAAAATTTTCATTTATAAATATGAGGATTGATTAGAACTAAAGAAATGTGTAGTAATTACTTTCTACTTTCTCAGAAACAAAAAGAGGCATGCGGAATGTAACTGGAATGTCTTTCAAATATTGTGACTCTCATATTTATGATACTAGCATTCTTGGCTTCCATGGTTACAAAGTCAATGCCTCTTTCATATGTTATTGGTTATTTCTTTCAATATGTTAGTTGAAATGTTGAAAGGAGGTTGTTAGTTGTGTTTATTATTATTTTATTATCATATTTATTTAATTAAGTTACTTGAAAATTAAAAATATATTATTATAATAGAAATTATAAGAATGAGAAATATGTATAATTTTAATTTAAATTATTTTTTATTATAGGATTTATTGAGAATAAAATATTTTTAATCCGAATAGATCAATATGTGTAATGGTCTTTATAAATAAAAATTAATAAAACTCATTTTTAAATTACACATATAAATGATATACATATGTATATGAAGATATGACTATTATCTTGATTTAAAGGAATATTACTAATGGTTAATATATTATCTTTAAATTGTCAATAAAATTTGTTTTTTAAAGTATATATATATATATATATATATATATATATATATAAATTTAGACCTGTGATGTTAGTTGAATGATAATAAGGTATGATTAAATTTTTTGGGATTAATGATTAATAAAAAGGAATCTATCAACTCTTGTAATAAGTTTAAACTATATAAAAATAAGACCTTGGCCAAGGTGTTATAAATGAAAGAAAAAGAAATTCTTAAGTCATTTATCATGTGTTAATTTATTAGAATTTGACAATTATACCATATTTTAGAGGTCATATAGTTGCAAAGATTGAACGAAATATTATATTAATCTTCTAGTGGTTTTAAAGTAAAAGATATTTTATGTTATCTGATCGTTAAGGAGTATTGCTAGACACTAATCTTGATTAGTAAATTAATGAGTTGATTTACTACCAGTTAATAATGAATCTATGAGGTCACAAACTAACGAATGTTCTAATATTTGATGAGCGAGAAAAATATTATTGATTAAATTAAAGATTTTAATTTTATCTAATCAATATTTTCTTGAAGTGGAATATTATTGTATTTTTTGTTAGCACCAAAAATACAATTAATATAAAGTTTGAGAATATGCGACTGCGGATCTTGACCATTGATTTTAGGGGACCAAATAATATATTATTAAAAATAATAAATAAATATAAAAGGGTGAAAGAAGATCAAAGGATGAGAGGATAAAATTGTAAATGTATAAGTAAATATATAAAATGATCATTAAGTTTGGGGGTCAAAATCATAAATTATATGAGAATTACAAAAATTAAAGAAAGACTCGAAAGGATAAAATTGTAAATATACAAGTAAATATATTAAAATTTGAGGAGCAAAATTATAAATTACATTAGAGTTACAAAATTTGAGAGGGTTCACGGTCCCCTCAATTCCCAAAAAGATCCACTACTAAATATGTAAGATCAACTAAGTTAGACTTAATAAAAAATATCTTCAACATAACTGATAACCAACTAATCAAATTTTTAATAATATGATTTAATTTGTTACTGGAGATTTAAAAATAATAAAAAAAGAAGAAGACATGAATGTTATATATATATATATATATATATATGACTTCCTTACAAAGAAAAAAATGCAATTGTACACGTCTTTCTTTCACGACAAGTTTTTTAATGATTATAATTTTTTCTTTCACACATAAAATGTTGACATAATAAGATCGGTCTTAATATGGATACATTACCTTTGTAAGTTTAAAGGAGATTAAATTTTGTGGATACGAGAGTGTAATCATCAGGATGATGATATAACTCGGTACATCATGATTCTATAAATTTTGTGTTGTTTTTGTTACTGATATATGTATGATATTTATATGCAATTAAACTGCATAGTATCATATGGAAATGGTGTTCATTACATTGAGTAGTGCTCAATTTAAACTTGTTTATCCTAAACACTATTATTTGGTTATACCAAAATATACATTTGTGATATTTACTTAACCTATTTATTTGTCATCCAAAGTGGACAATACCTTGGACATGAAAATTGACCTTAACGATGTTATCATAATGAACATGAGATCGGGACATACTCGTTTCTAGATGGAACATTGGCGTCCATCGTGAGACCAGGAGCCGAGTCTCACTCCACTCATACCCCTTAGTCCTCGACTGGGGACTATGTTATGATAACCTCGTGAGTCACACATTGCTTAGGAGTCAAGGTCAAGGGTAATTTACACCCTCTTCTCTTAACTTATTAAAACGTTTTTTAATGACAAAACTGTGACGAACGAAAGTTTCAAGTGGATAATATCTTGAATGTGATTATTGACCCTAACGATATTATCATAATGGATATGAAACCGAAACATTCTCATTTTTAGATAGAATATAAACTAAAAATAATAATAATAATAATAATAATAATAATAAGATTATTATTATTATTATTATAATATATATTTTTAATATTTTAAGATAAAAAAACAATAAAGTACATTAAAAAAAATTACGATTAAATTTATTAATTTTTTTTCTAAAAACGAGGTCGACCGAGTTTACGAGGCAAGGTGAAATACTTAGTCTAAATTGTCATTTTTGAAAGAGCTAGTGGTTGGATTTATCGGGTCAAGTTACTTTGTCATTTGTTATTTTTTCCTGCGTCCTTGTACATTCTTCCACCACCTTTATAATTTATCTAAAATAACAATAATCTTCCTAATATAAATATGTTTTATAAAGTTCATTCTGAATATGAGTTCTGGATTATGATATCTATAACGTATTTTTATATTTTATTTTCTTGAAATATATTCTTGAAAAATGATTCCAAAAAATGTTTGAAAGATTTATGGAATACATTTTTGAAAAACACAATCTAAAAATATGTTCTAGATTAGTCTATCTAAAACTCATTTTTGTTGAGAATTCAAGTGTGAGTTTGAAGTCTCATATTAGATAGAAATGAGAAAATTGGGTAACTTATGAGTGAGAAAGACCCATAACCTAATGTCTTAAGGTTTTGGGTTGAAGGTGATGTCATATTCTCTTATATGGTTGGTTCATGATCCATTTGTGAGAATCTCTCTATTGTTAGCCCCTCGCAAATATCTAACTCTGATATCAGAGTCGATAGTTCATCCAGTGACCGGCTCAGTTAAGTATAGTAGGTGAAAAGTCCTTGTGTCGAAAATCTTCCTTACAAGCCTTTCAAGCAAGCGAGTCTCTTTAAGTTGAACGGCGGTACAAGTAAGGTCATCACTAAGTACTTATGTCTGCTTCCGCTCGAGAGGGAGATATATCAATATGAAAGGAAATCACACCTGAGGGAGAGATGTTCTACTATTAGCCCCCTTAAAAATACCTAACAATTTTTGCATTGTGTTTTTCAAAAATGTATCCATGGATTCAACAATTTGAAATACCACAAAGTTAAATGCATTTTTTTACAAGATTTTTCAATGCACATGTTATGTGATTCAAATCATAAATCACCAACAAATTTTTAATCTTAAAGTGAAGATGATGCTTTAATGAAGTTGTAAGAGATGCAACAAACGGAGGGGTAGATGCTGGTATAGAGGTGTGATGTGATAGAGAAAAATTGGCCTCAAAAACATTTTTTGCATTTTACATATATTATAAAAATGGAGAAGAAATTATTGGGATATAGAAAAAAAAAATCCTTGTCATTTCTTAGATAAACATGTCACCCAAATCCACGAAGTCATACAAAGTAATACGTAACAAATTAATGTGAAAAAAAATACTATTCATAATTATATGGATCTAAATCACTTTAGTAATTTAATAGATCAATTCTATAATCAAATTTATTTGTTAGATTTTAAATTTATAATTAATTGAATATACACCATATTACTTTAGGATTTAAAAAATAAAATGAGAGTGAAGACATTATTTGGTTAAGGCACTATTTTAACTAAATGGTTTTTATTCTCACAAAAAAATTTAATAGAAAATAATATAAAATGACATCGGCTAAAGAGTTCGTAAATGTCGCAGGAAAAACTATCTAACTTAGAATAAAAAAAGGAACATCCGTATATAAAGTCACTTTCATAGTTAAATTAGTATAAAAAATATAATAAAAATAATAAAAAATATATCAATGAGAATGCAATAAAAGAGTAAAATGGTTTTATTTATTGATCTCTTACCATGATATTTTAGATAGTAAAATATATATGTTTTAATATCATTTAATGTTTCGATGACGTGAGATTCATTCATTTATAATACAGTAATTATATACATTATTTTATCCATTATTATTGAACTAATATGTATTTAATAATGTTTATACGAGAGAATGTCTCATGTATTCCATAAATTAGATTCACTTACTCTATTTATTGCTCAACACTAAAATTAGACTTTTAGATAATAAAACTTGCGTACTTACTCAAATTTTGATACTAATATGCGACACAGATGGAAAGCTTTTCTCATATAAATATTATGAAATACATATTAATTCAATAATAACCTATAAAATAATATACTAATTACTTAGATATAAAAAAAATATCATATTATTGAGAGATTAAATGATATTAAAATATGTATAATTTATTAGAATTCAGCCCAATAATTTTTAAAATAGTAGTTAATCAAATTGATCTCTTGGAATTCCTTGACCCACCTCATTTTATATTTTCTATTGTAATTTTTTCATAAGAAAAATTTACAAATATTAGTGAACAAATCAACTGGCTATCTATATTTGGGAGGCATTCTTGAAATAAGGTTATGTGCACTAAGTAAAAGGATTAACCCAAAACTAAACTCATGGCTTGATTTTTGGTGGTCTTTATAGATAATTTGATCAAGTAGTCCT